GGGGCAATGGGTCTCAATGGAATGTGGAGGGAAAATAACTCAGTGCACGTCTGGAGGGTGACGCTGCTCCACACCATGGGGGAAGACAGCGGTGCCTTTGTGTGGATGGCAGCGCTGCTGTCCACCACAATTTCCTGGAGAAATGTGAGATTGGGTATGATCTGAGCAATGAGATGAGATTGCGTATGATCTGAGCGAGGAGGTGTTAGCATGTGTCCTGCAGAAGGCTTGTTCATCTTGCCTGGTAGTCTGCTACTGATGATAAGAGACAACTTGACCTCTGAGTACCTTAATTTCTCTGTTCTTAGAAGTGGGGAACATTTATGCTATTTCTTGAGTTATTTAAAAAGAGGACAAATCCAAATAAAAAACAATTCTTGCTTGTTTTACTGCTTTATTAAATTCTTTATTTCACTAAAAAACATGGTGCTGAATGGCCCTTAAGGAAGTAACGTGGAAACCAATCCAGATGAAATATCTTTCGGAAAAGCCTGTCTCAGGGAAGGGATGACAGGACCACTGAGGCCCAGGCAGAGCTGGCCAGGGCATGTTCAGACGCTCTGAGCCCAGGCTGAGGGTACTGAACTCGGTACTGAACTACCCATGTGGCAGTGCCATGGCCTAGGATGGAGGACAGTGTGAGCTGTGAAGCTGCTGCCAAACTGTTGGCAAGACCTGACAAACCTGAAAGGATACTGAGGTGGCCACCTCATGCCTGGTATTTTGGGTGGACTAGGTTTTAAGTTTTCTTACACCCCTCAGAGGCACCCAGTTGATGGAAGCATTGACTGCAGGAACCTGAGTGACAATTGAGACCATCTGAGGGTGGCTGTGTCGGGCCACAGCTCTGCCCCTGGGACACCAGCACACAGCCCCTGTGCACATGGAGCAAGCCAGAGGCAAACAGCACGTGGGGCACTTGGGTTCAAATCCAGTGTCTTAGTGGCAACTGCTGTGGACAAGTCAGTCACAGCTTTTCAGTGCTGTGTCTGCTTCTAACTGTCATCCAGAACTGACCCTGTTTGTGTAATGAGCTCTTTGCAGCTGTAAGGTCACCCAGGTAATGGGCACACGGGGACTGGGCTGCCAATCATGCAACCAGGTAATCCTGCCATGCCAAAGCACTGTGACAGCATTACAGGTGTTTTAAGGAAGCGTAAATTGTTCACACTAAGATGCAGTGGCCTGTTGTGGCTGTGTTCACTGGCTTTGAGTAGAAGGTTTTATTTATAAGTTATACCTCTTAATGCAATAGGTAAAAGCTAAATTCTGCCCCATCAAACGCTGGAGCTTTGTGTTTCTATGTGCATGGCTTATTGTTTATATTGATTATTTATTGAGGAAAAATGGAAGTTGGTGTTGGAGGACATGCAGCTGCAGTGCAGCTTTGACTGTGCTGCTTGCAAGGTCAAAATAAATGTACTGGGTCAAAGTGGGGTATGGAGGTACTCGAGACATTACGTGGGTGTTTTACCCCTAAAAATTTCTCTGGGGAGGAGTGTTTCACTGCCCTGCAGAAACTCAGACTAATAGATGTGTAAGATGAATGATTATGTCTGAACTGTGCTCCTTGAGGCCCCATCTCCTATTTTTTCTTTACATGCTCATTTGTCAGCATGTTGTCAAACCTTCAATTAATGCGTCACTGGCTGCTCTGTTCACCCTCGCTCTCTCCTTTCAGCCCCGGCGGGTCCTTTCCCCTCCTGGGCAGGTGCTGCCCACGCAGACACACCCCTCCCTCCCATGCTCCCAGGCGGCAGGTGCTCAGCCAGAGTAGAGACAAAATAAAGTGATCCTGTCCGTCACTCCTTTCCTCCTCAGGGAGGTCAGCGAGTCCCTGCTGCTTTTCCTGCTGCAGAGGTGGGCCAGGGCACGTAGCAACTGCTCAGCTAAATGAATTCACTGCTGAACACCCCCACGGGCGTGCCTGCCACGCACGGGGCAAAATCCTCCCAGCACAGGGCTGCAAGGGAAACTGGTTCCCTTTGTCAGGGTCACCAAAGATGGCCAAGGAAAGTAATCCCACATTACCCAGTGCATCTGCACAGCTTATTTTACACTTACCTGTTACCTGGAAAATTGGAAGAAAAATTTCCACATTTTCATTGAGGACTTTGTGGCCATGTGTTTGCTATAGCTTTTTGGTGTATCGACCATGCCCCTGGTCTGATACAATGTGAGAATAATCATGTCTGAAATATTTTCTCTATGTGTTCCTTTATCTTTCTGTCCCTCTATTCCATTCACTCTAAATGACACATTCATTCATTCTTTCCAAATTCGGCTCACGTGAGAATCTTCCTGTAATAATACCTTTTATTTCCCATTTCCTCCTCTAGCACACCCAGAACTGAGCAGAGCACTTATTAAAGATCCTCAGTAAACCACCTCTGCTTTATGATGTGTACCCGTAGTTGTTATCCTCTTCTCTCCACGTACAGTTTGGAGGTACTCAGGGTACACCACTTCATGTGGTGTGAGGGAGTTAATCTTGAGCATGCTCACCTCACCTGATAGGAACAAGTGTAATTATGTCTCACTTAAAATACTTGCACATTCACAATGGATGAGCCACCGGGAGCAGAACTGCTGGGGTGGGAGGGACTGTATATATAGGGTTACAGTCACAGGGCTGGCAAGGAGAGAGCAGCAAAATCATAGAAAGCAGTGTGGCTGGGCTGTGATCTGTCTGCCTGTTGGAGGAGGGCAGGTGAACTCTCTGCTTCCAGGCCTGGATCCCTGCCTGCACTGAGGGGCAGGTTTGCCAGCTGACTGAACCTGAAGGCACAGCCCAGTCGTGACTGAGCTTGGGGATCTGCAGCCACGGGAGAGTGACAACTGCAGGCAAGTTTAGATTAGACCTAGAGTTAAGTTATCTAGAGCAGGAGAAAAAGAACTGCCTGTAGCATGCCAGATTTCTGTATAAAATTGCAATTATGTATAAATTTTATGTACATTGTATTTTTTCAAATTGAACAAATTGACCAAACAGAAGCCAAACTTGACATTTTGAAGGAAGAATTTATTTCATGTAAGTAAATCTCAGAAATCTTCATTTTTATATAGAATTTAAGACTTTCTGTGTGTATTTAAGGAGTTCAGGCCTGCAAGCTGCAGCAGGCCTGTGTACCATGTTGGAGGAGCAGATGTGAGCATAAACTGCCACTTCCTGTGAGCAGCTTGAAGGATGAGAGTTTATATCTTGAAAACATAAATGCATTACCCAGGCCTGGTTTCAACATTCTTACATAGGCACTGAATCTAGTTCTATGTAAACCCATGTATGTTGGAATTGCTTCTGACTTTCATTGGCACAAATAAGAGGGGAATCAGGCATGTGGTTTATGGGGTGTCATTTATACAGGCCAGGGTCTCCCCTCTCCCATACTATGTATAAAGGATATGGATGTGAATGCACATACCAACAGGTATGAAACAAGGAGTGGGCTCTGTATCTGCAAGTGACCCGGTGTTTGTTTGTCCCACAGAGCCTGGGACATCTCTGGGGGGCCAATGGCCTCTGGGGGCAGGTGCTGCTCCTGTGACCTGCCAGCCAGTCCTGCACAGCACTGAGGTCAGCGGGGCCCAAACACAGCAGGGTCACCTCAGCTGTGCCCAAACACGGCAGGGCTCACCTCAGCTGTGCCTGCTGCTCCTAGAACAGAGAGGTCATTTTTCATGTGATGTAATGGCAGTGACATAGATGGAAAGAATCTATTTTTTACCAAGAACAGAAGTTCACACAGGATCTTGAAGGATTTCTGCAAGTACCACGAAGTCACCTTTTTAATTGTCCATGATTCCAGATAACCACTCAGGGCTACTGACAAAAAGCAAATAGCAGAATAAAGTAGTTGGTGCCTGTCCCTGGGCAGCCAGGTCTCAGCACTGGGGTCACCCTGCCACAGCCAGCACCTGCCTTGCTGGGGCCTGGGTTGCCACAGTGTCTGCTCCGGAACACACCTCCTGCTCTTCCAGGCAAAAATTGGCCAAATAATGATCTTCTAGGATTGGTCAAGTTATTAGACAACCTGGTTGAGTTTATATTTTCCCAGACAGGGAAACCAGCAGGACAGAAAAAGTGTCCAACCAAAGCAGAAACTTTCTGAGGTTTTGACGGAATACAAATGCATGTAAGACTTCAGTCAATATGAGACATTCCTTTCAACCCCAAATTATGTGCTTTGGTTTACCTTCTCTTATTTCACACACTGGAAGTCTTTTCTCAATATCTTGTTTTAGTCAGAAAATATTATAGCCATGAAAAGAGATTTTTGAAAGTAAAAACCAGAAACAGTCTCAGTGTTACCAGCCTATGGGTTTCCAAGTTTCCAGGTTCTCCCACTCCCTTTACCTCCACCAGCTTCTAATGTTCCCTTTTGTTCTGACCAGCCAAGGACTGACCTCACATATCTGTTGATATGTGACAGGATCCCACCAGCTCTTCAGTTCTGTAATAATGGGATTTGTTTTTTCCGAATTTATTTTAGTGTCAAATAACTAACGTTCCCAGTAAGAGTGCTTGCATCAAAAGATGCAAAAATTTTTCCTGTTAACTCAATTCTCTTCCTTGTAGTTGATTTGTATTTTCTGCTGGCCTGCCAAAATAAATATTCAGCATTCAAAAATTTAAAAAGATAGTAATTATTCTTTTTTCTTGGAAGAACAAGCTTTAAAGTTTAAAGAAAAAGTATTTCAAATTAAAGTTTAAAATTGCAGAAATTAAGAGGCCAGATAATTTTAAAGACTTTAATTTTCAGCTGATCTCGTGATTTGTGGGGTCAAAAGTTAAAATTTGAACAGCTCTCGTAATATCAGTATACCTGATCTTTCACAGCAGCTGTCATGCTGAACCTTTCCTTACAAAATCCTCTGCCCATGCACTTTCCCAAAGCAGTTGTCTTTTAGGATCAGACAGCTGCTCACAGTTGCCTTGTCCAGCCTGAAAAAAAGAAACATTAAAAAAAGAGAGACATTATATGTCTTAAATCACTCAAAACCTCTTCTAGACAAACAAATATTTTGAGCTGGAAGTGACGTTTTGGCAAAGCCAGGGAAGTCTGATTCCAGAGTGTGTGATGCTTTGTGCCTCCCCCATCATTTTGTAACTTTATGTGGCAATTATTACGTTCATGTCAGTGGCCAAAGGAAGCTCAGCACAGGGCAGGGCAGGGCAGGGCAGCCACCAGGCAGCCAGGGCCGTGCTGCTGCCAATGTTTGGCACAGCCAAACAATGCCCAGCTCCACGTCTGGGGTGAAAACAAGTGTCCCCAAGTGATGGCTGACAAACCTTGTCCTGGGTATCAAAGCACTTGTGAAAACACTCCAGTGAAAGTGGTTGCCTGACATTTCTGGCTGTGGTCTCACTGGTTTGGTTCAGGCAGCCTGCGTTTCGGGAGCGAGGGTGTCCCGGGGGCTGCAGGGCTGTGCTGAGGGACAGGCTGTCCATGGACTGCCCATCCCCTCTGTGCCTGTGACCCCTGCCCATGGCACACACAGCCTGGGGGTTCCCTGCACAGCTTTCACTCCCAATGAAATAATTTCCCTACGAGGGAAATAGAACAGACAAATTGTGCCTGAGTTCAGCATGAAAATCTTAACATTTTGTAATAAATAAAGGCATCACCTAAATGGTCAAATTAAATGCAATCTGGTTTTATTTCAGTATTTGTTTTCTCTATCTCCCCCATCCAGGCTTTACTCTGAGACGCACGCTGCCTGTGCTGCACATTCTGCAATCAGAGCAATCTGGCTCCACTAACGTTTGACCTTGCGAATTATGCTCTCAAGCCTAGTAAACAGCTCATATGGGTTTGGTTTTCGGGATGGTATTTTAGCTTCTCGTAAATGCTCCCTTTGCCTGGCACTGGGATGTCACCAGCCAGTGGAAAATCGGAGAATATGCCAATGTGCTGCTCTGTGCAGGGACAGGGATGGCAGGTAGGAGGTGAGGCAGGGCTCCCTGGACAGGCCCTTACGGCTCTGAAGGAGCTGCCACTGTGGGTTACGCTGGCAGTAGGGCACGGGAGCCTGGGGAGCACTTCAGGCCCCATCAGGTGAGCGTGCACATCTCTCTTACTTCACACCCCATTCTCGATAAACAGAATTATTGATGCTGCTAGTGATTTTGAATTTTTCTTCCTTTTTTTGTTTTCACTCCTACCACCCCTTCAAAGACAGAGGAATAGAGCAGGATTAAGGAAGCACAGTCTGAGGTGTAGTGGTAGATGCATACTGCTGCTGTTCGGTGGTGTAACGAAGCTTTGTTTCAGGAAATTCTCTAGAAGCAGACACAGGCTTCCACAGAGGACTCTAACTGGATCTAGTTTGCTTCAAAACTTGCCTCTTTGCACGATTTTCACAGCCATTAGGGAGAACACAGAGCTGAGTGGGCAAGTTATTATACTCTCAGGGTTTTCATTCTAAGTCTACATAATGATTGACTATTCTATAACTTTGGCATTGGAAGCAGCCTTGGCACCAGTAGTACTGGTACTGCCTTCACGAGTACTGCTCTTCTGTATTGCCTGGGCCATGCTTTCACTGGCCAGACACAAATGTCTAGATTAAACTGTGCTTAAAGGTATGTTTTTCTATTAGAATTAAATCCTTTATTGGACAGAGAGAGACATAAATACACAATACGATTTTAATTTCTTCACAGTATATTGTACTGGTAATCTCTGATGAAATCTCCTGTCCTATAAAAGCCGAATTGCCATTGTATTAACCAATACACTGCGTAGTGAAGAAATGCTGTGGTTCTATTCAGTTCTAGACACTGATGTCACTTTTTTCTTGCCCAGGAGCACTTTGGCATGCCCAGTATTTAGCTCTCTTCAGTACCTACAGATCTCCCTTTCCCTGCCTCATAGTCTTTGATGTATTTATTATCTTTACCATCATCCTATGCAAAACAGGTGGTCATGAGGGATGCTCATGAGGGGTTCCTCCGCTGAAGGTCATGAATTCTCATGCTTTCAACTAAAGTCTAATTTGTAAAATTAACTTCTTTCTAGAAATTCTTCTTTAAACTACCTGGACTAATCCTCCCTCTTTTCCATCAAAATTGTGATCTGACATTGCTGCGAGTGGGTAAATAATTCTCTCTCTAGCCCTGCATCATCACATTATAATGAGGAGCACTCGATAGCATCTGGAAACACCTGAATACCATGTTCAAAGAATGGCCTAAAAGTGCAAAGCCTTGTTAGGAATTCAGATGTTGGACAAGTATTAGAGCGTATTTTGTTTGTTTTGAAAAAACATCCTTTCTCTACTGAGATGCCCTGCATTTGTGGTGCTTGAATGTTCAGGGGGTTTTACTGGCTCTGTATGGTCAATGTTGTTATTGTCTGGAGCTCAGCTGTCCTGTGACACAGCACCAGAGCCATGCCTCCAGCTGAGGAGACAGTGTCCTCTGGGCTGTGGAGAGTTACCACAGGAAGAATCTAACCCAAGCAGAAAATTCCTGATATTTGGGTTATTACAGAGCAGCCAGGTTGGAAGCTGAGGCCCTAATTGCCCTATGTAATGAGAGAGGCCCTGAAAGAAAGGTGTGTGATTGGAGCAGCACTTCAAGCTGGGAGCAAAAAATCACAGTGGAGCAGTGCACAGCTCAGAGCTGCCCACTGTGGCACCTGCTCCAAGGCCAGCATGAGCCCATGGAATCTCGGGCCAAAAGCCAAGACTTGGTTCCACTCCCAGAAAAGTCAACGAAACCCATTTAAAGTGAAATGATTTCATGCTGTACTGCAGGCTGAGTGACTTGGCAGCATTACTGTTAATAGCGTGGTACATCCCAGGTACAAGTTAATGAAGCACAGAGTTACAGCACTTCTGTGTAGCTGGTTAGTGGAGCCTGGGACTAAAACATACTGAAACTGTCATCTGTGGGCAGGATTTCACCTGGCTTTCAGAGTCTGACTGCTCTGGGAACTACCCCAACATTTTCCTACTTAATAAATCCCTTCCCATGGTGCCATTCTCAACATCATCTAATGGCCATCCCATACTGATAGAAGAGGAGCTAAAATTTATCAAGGAATTCAGGACCTGAGTTGTCACCAGGGTGTTTTATGTGGGAAGTGTTAAGACAGAATGTGCTGAAGCCAGACACTAGCCAGGAAGAAGGGCAGGAACCACTGTGTATCAGGAATGTTAAACATCACACAGTGATGGTTCTGACAGTGCAGCATTTCTTTTCCCTGTCCCCTTCCCTTAAAATAGTTTTTCTTAAATCACAAAACTTTGCCTTTCTTTTCTGCTTCACAGACAAGCAGAGCAACTACAGAAACAATCTCCAGAGATGTTCTGCAAATATTTTTCCTTCTTCAGTCTGTGTCTTTTCCTTCCAACCCAAAGGTAAGTGGAAGGTTTGTTTTGTTTTACAGGGAAAATTTGAATTATGTTTCACATAAGTAATGTGAGTCAAAAGGAAACTATGCTTCCAGTTATCCAGCCCATCCAAAGGAAGCTGGGTGCAGTAAGGGATGTGGCATAGAAGAGAGCAACCTGCACAGGTCCCTAAACCACAATATGTCCATTACTAGTGCAACCCTTGATTTCCTGTTCAGAACCAGAGCACAGTTTGTAGGTTTTTGCTGGAAATGCCACCCCACCAGGGCTCCCAACTCTGTTATTACCATCCTTGGACCTACAAGTCCCAAATTTCTTTAATTCTTTGTGTATATAATGTGCAAAAACCGGTTCAGTTCTGCTGTGAGGTCCTGTATGGCCTTAGAACCTACAGCTACAAGGCCTACTAACCCAGCTTTGAAGGGAACAGAAGAAAAAACATTGTTAAGAGCTGTAAGTCCATGGCTGCTTCCTGCCCAGAGCAGGGGTCCTGAGACTGGGAGTGGCAGAGGCTCTGCCTCCCACCTCCTTCTGCCCTGCCCAAAGCAATAACAAACTCGTGCTTTCCTCAAGTGAGCACGAGATCAGCTGGGGACACTGCACCAGAACAGTCACCTTGTACAGTCCAAAGCCCCCGTGTCTCTTGCTGTCTGTATGATAGTACAGATCTGTCAGCCTGACAGTGCCAGCTCCTGGCTCCATTGTCCAGTCACAAAGGGTCAGTTTGGACACTCAGTTGGATGCAGCTGGGGCGGTTCTGCCCTCAAAGCTCTGGGGGTGTCTCTGAAGTGCACAGTGCTCCACCTTTCCTCTCCCGGTGTTACTCCTGGCAGTAGCTGTGTGGAGCTGCCTGACATTCACATCTGAGGATGAAGCCTCTTTAGGAGACTAGAGATTAGGGAGGAAGAGCTGTTGGGCAGTAAGATTTGTCTCAGGTTGTCCTAGGCAGGAGGAAAAAGAAATGCATGTTCCTTATATAGACTGTATGAGAAGGAGTGGGAAGGGGAAATTGGGGGTTATTGTTAAAACTTGTGATCTATAGACTTTGCTTGATATCTCTGTGATATTTTAGGAAGGTCCTTAAGGTACTGACTGTGTGTACAACCTGTAGCTATCAGCGGAGGCAATTTGCCATTTTCCTTCCTCTTCAAGGTGCTAATTATACAGCCAAGATAGCAATGTGAGCAAGTGCTTGTAATTTCAATTATCTACTTGTTTTTAATAACTATTTTATGCAGTTTGCTTGTTTGAGCACAAGCTGCAAATACAGCTGCAGCTGCACACCAGATGTGCCCAGCCCACGCGTCACAGTACGTATTTGTGTCCCCAGGAGGTGCTCCCTGGGTCACGTATCCAGCTTGCACAGCAGCGACACAACATCCCTTCCTGGATTTGAGAACCTCACCATGGGATACAACAAATACCTCCGGCCCTACTTTGGTGGTACGTTGGCTCCACGCATGTGAGCATTTCAAGAACAGCCTGTAAGGCTCAGGTGGAGGGGATGCTTTAAGCTTGTTTTAGAATGCTGCAGTTTGAAAGGTTGTGTTTCTTTCAAATTAGGTGGTGGCCAGGGCTGCCCTTCCTTCCTGTGCATCCACTGTTGTCTTGAATACCTGGTGCATGTATGTGTGGGCCTTGAGAACATGTCCATCTCTGAGGCTGAGAGCAGGGAATTTATAAACTTCAACATCTCTAGGAAAGACCTGACCAAGTAACTAAATTCTGCTCTAACTGTACAAGCTTTTGTTTAGAGCCTGAGTCTTTGATTTTCTGCTTTACAGATGTTCATGTACAGCTATTTAGTAGATTGCAGCTATAGAGGAACGAAGGCACTCTTCTTGCCAGGAATATTGACTTTTGACACATCTTCTCTTTCCACTGAGATACAAACGTGCTTTAAACCTTGGTGAGACTGGGGAGTCGGGAGCGGGCAGGCATTTAGGAACTTACCTGAGGCTCTTGACCAAATTTGGTGTCAGGTCTCCCACTTTCCAGATGAGTGCTGTAATCACACAGAGTAAAAGGTTTCTCAGAATGACATTCAGCATCTGAAAACTATCAATGAAAGTTTAAAAAACAGCTATGACCATTTTTTATTCCTATTAATTTTGGTTTTCTGCCAGAACCCATTAATGAAACTCTGCTTGACAGAAAAATTTCCCATTGACTTTCACAAGGCCTTGGATGTTTCCCATTGTAGGCTGACCTGCTGCTACTGAGCTTCTTCCATTTTCTGACCACGGTAATAAATTTCTGGGACAATACAGAATTTGCTGTCTTGTTTTGCCTGGAACATCTGACCTCATGACTGACTAGTAAAGCTCCTCCAACTCTTCTCACACCAGTGAAGAGATGCTTCTCCACGATGAAACGGAGATCAGCTGCATCTATGGCAGATGTTATACAAAAATGATCAGGACTGGTGTCACCTCCTCCAGAGGCCTGAGTCCTCACAGATTGAACCTGTGGTCAGTAACTGGACTGGGCTTCAAGAGTCCAAATAGACGGAGGGCATGAATGACACCTACATTAAAAAAATACATCCTTTGCAAATGAAACTGATGATGAAATTGAATTTTAGCAATGCCAAGAGGAAAGGCATTGCTGTGTCGCCACTTAGGCAGAGGCATGTCTTGGAAAGCCCTGCTTGGAGCCCCACATTCGTCCCGGGGATCAGACAAACCAGGCACAACCAGAGACACAGTTTATGTCTCTGCGCTGGTGCAGCATTTCCCTCTGCAGGGCCGCTGCTGGCTCTGGGCCGTTCCCGGCTGGTTCCCGGGGCGTTCCCGGCGATTCCCGGCCGTTCCCGGAGATTCCCGGTCGCTCCCGGCCGTTCCCGGGCGGTGCCGCCCTCTCGCGGTGGATCTCCGCAGTCGGTGTCAGCGCTCCCCAGATCCAGGGCGTGAGTGCTGAAAGTTGGTTTGCAAATAGAACGGTCGAGTAGTAACTAACAAGAGGCAAAGGCTGTTGCACTTGCGGTTTGTTCCCGGGAATCAGTGCATTCCTGCCTCCCAGAGCACCGGGGCTGCCCATCGCTGCCGTGCGCGGGCAGAGCTGCGAGCAGTGCCCAGTGCGGAGTTACCGGCCGGGCCGCTCCGGGGGGGGGGCTGGGAAGCAAAGGGACAGTGGCCCTGTCTGCCCAGCCACCCACAAATGCCACTGAAATGCTGCTGATCCAAACTGCTCAGCTTCACAGATGGTGCTGGTGGGTATTTGCCCTCTGCTACCAGCACCAGAAGAGAACTCCAGCTCCCTGACAGTGACAACTGTATTTTGGATCATGTAATTTGTGAACCTAATGCTCTTTGGCCCTCTGTGGTTTTAGGGATAGCGTGTGAGGCTGGGGGCAGTGCCCACGCTGCACAGCATCCTGAGTGGCTTTACTGTGCCCTTCACACTTCCCTTCTCTCTGCTGAGGCATTTCTTTCCCTCCCCAGGAGAACCTGTTCAAATTGCAATGAGTCTGGACATTGCAAGTATTTCCAGTATATCCGAGAGCAACATGGTAAGTGAAAGAATTTTCATTTTATGAGATAAGAGCCTGAGAGACTTGGCATGTATTCTGTGACCACAGAAATGGTCACTTGAAGCTACTTTGCTGTTCTGGGCTATTGACCACTTTCAGAGGTGTGATGAAAACAGGGCTCATCTATGACTGCAGACTGCGTAGATGCCGTAGTAATGTGGGCTTGCAAGTAAATAGAAGTGGCTCCAAAGGTCCTACTGGTCAAAAATTCAGCACCTCGTGGAAATCAGGCCCCTTGGGAATGGAAAAAATCAGTACTGTGTGGCATTTCCTCTCCCTTACCTTTCCTCCATATAGGAGCCCTTTGTGTGGGACAGGGATGGGCTCTGTTGGACGTGCTGGCACTGACTGAAATCCCAGACAGGGTTTTTTCTCAAGGAGGAGAAGTAAGGCTTTGAGCTGAGACACAGGCTGAGGCTCAAAGGACTGGCCTTCCCAAGGAAAGAAAAAAAACCTGAAACATCTCTTAAATCTTCCCATCACTGGTGAGTCTGGTACATTCTGCTTCTGATAATAACTGGATTTCAAACACTGATCACTGAAAGCTCCTGTTTCGGGTTGGCCAAAATCATAGGCAACTTGGGTAAATTCAGCAAATAATTTCAGTCCAAAGAGTTAGAAGGTCATTCAGGAAAAATGTCGACACTTAATTTCTGCATTTTCAAGACTACCACCACCAATTATGTTTTTCTGCCTCCTTCCAACAAATTAACCAAGTTCACTAAATAAAATATTTTAACTTTGCTAAAGGTATTCGTTTTGGGGAAGGAGCAGAACCAACAAAATCAATTATTCACAAACCTCTCACTTAATTGAAGTCCCTTGTAAAATAGATCATGTTCTGGAGTTTTTCTGGATGATCCATCTAAATTTCTTTGACCATATGGAAAATATTGCAGAGGCTCACTCTGTGTCTTGCTCAAAGCTGGAAAATCAACCAGAATTCTTCACTTTTGTCACTACTATAACTCACTGTATTGAAAGCCATAACAAGGCTTTGACTTTTTTTTTACTCCATCACAGGCCAAGAGCGAAATTTTAAAAGTTGCAAAAGCTATCACTGATATTCCTTAATTCCTTAGAGCATTTTAAAAACTAGAGATGGAATGAAGCAGAACTGCTTGATCTTCCAAAGCCAGGCAGCATTTCTGTGGTGAAACAGTGACTTCAGGCTGTTAACACAAGTGCCAGTGCCAGTCCGTCTGTGACAGAGATGTTCTGAAAATAAAAGGCATTACTGGTTGCATGTACTTGGACTGTAAGGATGGAAGTGAAATAGTCCAGCAGTGCCTGTGTGTGTCCAGAAGGCTCAGCAAAGCATTGGCTTCAGAGCTGAGGGAGTGCTGCTTATTCTTTTCTGCTGGGGCTGTGTGAAAATGCTCCAGCCACTGCAGGTCGATTTTGGCAGGCTAAACACAAGTTAATCCCAGATTCAAAACTGCTATTAAAAGAAAAGATATCAGTTTAATTTTTTCCTTTGTTTGGGGCTTTTTTAAGACCTCAGTGAAGTAACAGGTTGGATTCACTTACCTTTTTTCCTCCAGTGCCAATGTGTCTTTCATGATCATATTTATAGTGCGTGTGGAATTTCCCAGCTCTAGACAATGACTCATCTGTAATGTCAATGACTTACTGGGTGGCCTCAAGTGTGTGTTTCCCATATGTTTTCTTACCTGCACAATGAACACAAAAAAATATCAATCACAGTAATTGCTCATTATTTTAAAAAAAGCACTGTAAGTATAATCTTTAGTCCTCAAACACCATACCTCAGAATATAGTATATTAAAAATATTACTGAATAAATAAAACTATGCTGAAAATAAAGCTTGAGGCTTCATTGAAGTCTGGTTGTGACAGGTTAAAAAATGTGTGCCATGTCTCTTGTCACACGTGGCATGCCCGTGGCTGTGCTGTGCAGGTTCTGGACATGCATCCTCACAGGCTCTCCTCTCTTTCCCAGGATTACACAGCTACCATATCCCTGCGGCAGCGCTGGACAGACCCCCGGCTGGTCTTCCACGGCAACAGGAGCTTCACGCTGGATGCTCGCCTGGCAGAGCTGCTCTGGGTGCCAGACACCTACATCGTGGAGTCCAAAAGGTCCTTCCTGCACGACGTCACCGTGGGCAACCGTCTCATCAGGCTGTTCTCTAATGGCACCATCTTGTATGCCTTGAGGTGAATCACCCTTTGCTTTGGGGCTGAGGGATCAGAATAGATTCCCAGAATTACACCAGACAGCAGCTGTCACGGGTCAGGAGCTTAGGGTCAATGAGCCTACTGTGACCACACTCTTCCAAGGCATTTCCCCCTGTTCTGGCCTCCTGCAAATGCCAGTCAAGGATCAGGATTTCTCATCATGGTATATGCTGTGTCCTGCACATTGTGCCCACTCAGAAAGCTCACAAGTTTCGGTGTCACCCAAGAAAAGTCAAGTCAGGTGGAGACAGAGGAGGAATAGAAAGAGGACATTATAACAGTGAAAGTTTAACTGATAGTGGAAACCTGTTTGTTTATCCAGTGCCATGTAGCAATGACTTCTGTTTTTTACTGAAAACTGTATATGTCTGTGTACTGCAGGAATGTGCTCTGTGGTTGTGTTAGCAGTTCCTACAGTGCTCTGTCTCCTTTAATCACAGTAACTAGGTCCCAGTTACCTCAACTGCAAAGTAAAACTCATTTACCTCCCCATGAGAGCAAAGCAGAATATGTGTGCCCTTCATTAACGTTCCTTCACGTCACAAGTGGTGACTTCTTCAGATGTGCAAGCTGTAGCACTGGAAAAAATGTGAATCTACACCAAATCTCCCACCAGAGCAAAGCAAAATTCCTGCTTGGGTTATATATATTCATCAGGGTGGCTGCAGAGAGCACATGCTCTTAAGGAGGGTTCTAAATTCATTCATTTCATAGGCCTAATGACAGAGCAGAGTCTTTGTCATCCAGTTTGTTATGTAAAACAGGTATTTCATTACATGCTTTTATTGCAACTTTCAGAGTTCTTTCTCCTCCTACAGAATCACTACTACTGTTGCCTGTAACATGGACCTGTCAAAATATCCTATGGACACACAAACATGCAGACTGCAGCTAGAAAGCTGTAAGTGTAACATTCTAGAAAACTCTAAATTTGTTTATTCATAAATAACTACATATCTTGAATATTTGGATTCAGTGCAGTGGCTTTCTGGAGTAGACTTTCAGTCCTGCAGATACTAATGTCCAAAAGAAAACAACTTTTGCATCATCAATTTTCAAATGTTTGTGTTAAAATCCACAGTCCAGAGAATTTCTGTCACTGTGCAGACTATGCAAAAAGAGTGATAATAACGAATATTTATATTGAAATGCAGATATTTCAATTTTGCACAGAAAAGTTGAAGTAATATTGGCTGGTTTTCCAAATTTGGTACCTTTTGAACACACAGCTTCTTCAAAACTAACCTGTGGGGTAAGGGCATGGGATGGGGTATGGCAAGGAACAACCTCTCACATTTTTAGGTATCTAGTACCCTTGTCAACAGAAGAGTCTCTGACTGGGAAGTCTTAAGAAAAGGAATTGTCAGTGAGTTCTGCTCTCAATGAGATTAAAAGTTCATCTATGGCAATGCTGGCTGAGAAAGGCTCCAGGAAAATTTAGACCACTCCAGGGTTGTTAGCCCAGAGCTCAGCCAGCTCAGTGCTGCTGTGTGCTGTGAAGCTCCACAATGAGCAGGCTTCATCTCCTGCTTGATGGCACAAAACCAAACATGTCAGCACTGAAAACATCAGCTTTTTAACTTTTGAGGTTGCAGCATGAAGCACCTAGGGAAGCACATATTATTTTCACATTAAAATCATATTAGTTCACCATGGTTAACTTTATTACAAAGCACAGCTCTTGAAATAATAATGATTGGCCTCTTCTGCTAAAGCGGAGCTTGTTTGGGCCTGGTTTAAAAGTGATTGGGTCCTACATCATGTTGAGTTGCTGTATAATTCCAATGAAATTACATACACATTGCCCACTGGAGATTTCATTAGGATAAGTGCCCAGAAATAATGCTATTTAAATATATGCCAGATGAATTAACAACAATCTATCATTTATTATAAAATTTTCCTGAGTAACTACAATTTATAAAACCACTTAGAAACTTAGAAAAGTCATATGCTTAGGATTCTACTCAGGGATTCATACTCTGGACACCTAATTTAGGAGTTTATCTCGCTCAAGCTCTGGTAATTTGTGTCTAATAAGAAAACACAATTAGATGAAAACAGAGCTGCAACTGCATCTGATTCCTCCTACCAGGACGAACGGGTTATTACCAGAATCACAGTGTCCTTACGCGTGGTCTCAAATAAAATAAAATAATTACATCAGTGAGACTGATGGGCTTGTTTCCTAAATTAAGTGAAATTTTTGAAGAGAATGGCAGGCTGGTGATTCAGTACAAGCTTTATCTCTCAGACTGAGATATCCCTCAGTCCAACCTGAGGTTATGCCATCACTTACATTCCTGGAAGCACTTACTCAGGTGGCATATAAGGAGTCCCACTTCTTTGGAGGCAGGAATTTGGTGTTACTTAAATGTCAGGGGCATTTATTTGTTCTCAGTAACTTAATGCCTTTGGGGATAGGAGGAATGATTTGTAGAAACAGTTGCCTTTATGAGCAAGTTTTCTGGGCAATGCGTATCCAGTCAGAGGAACCTAGTTCATAACCATGTAGCAGTCTCAGTTCTAAGCTTCTGACTGACTGAAAATGCATTTTCTCCTATTTTTAGGCACTTGAATAGGTGATTCAGTGAAATGTGCTTCTGCTCCTTGGTAAGGGACTCAGTGGGATCTGAATTCTCTATTTTTAAGCACTGTGTATCTCCTGCTCTCCTCTCAGACTGAAGAGACTACATTTGAGGCTTACTTGCTGCAGTGTTTAATCCTGCTGCATGTAATCAAGCTGTGCATGACAGCAATCGATTATCTTTAAATCAGAAATACCCCATGTAAAGGATTGAAATAGACTCTCTGCAGGCTTGCATGTTGTGTGTCATTCCCAGAGGCACGTGTTCCTATTGAAACCTGGACCAGCAGACAAAGTGCAGCAATGAAAGCACAGCCAAGGTCTGCCCATGGTCTGACACAGCTCTGAGGGCCTTCGTCCAGCCTGCAATGCCTGGATCGTGGCTGTGTTCCCCCTCAGGACTCAGAGCAGGGCAGCAGCCAAGCTGTAATGGCTAAACCACAATCAGACAGGTCTCTGTGTTCTCCTTAGGGGGCTATGATGAAAACGATGTCACCTTCACATGGCTGAGAGGAAACGACTCTGTCCATGGCATGGAGCAGCTGCGGCTCTCCCAGTACACGGTGGAGCGTTACTACACCCTGGTCTCCAAGTCACAGCAGGAGACAGGTAAATTTGTGAAAGAAAAAGGCAAGGAAAGCTCTTGGGTATTTCCCATCACATCTCCACACATACCTGAAGAAACCTTCTCCCTTCTTTCTATAAAGTTACAGTAACTGGGAGTAAAATTAATTTTTAAAATATACTTTTGATTGTAAATTACAATTCTATCATGATGGAATAACATCTCTTTGTACATCAGAATTCAGTGTCTTTTTCATTATCAGTGTAAATACTCTTCTCTCCAGTCACAGACACTGTGAAAGGGGGGCAAAACTTCCTTAGAAGGTTTTAAAAATAACAGTGTTTTGTTGTTCTGTTGTGTACACAGCCCATGAACAACACAGACTTTGTTTCTACGTTTCAAAGGGAGCTATTGTTTAAACAGCAGAACTATATCCTGAAAACATTACTGATCCAGCCCCAGAACCCTTACGTCAGTATTTACAAATAATTGATTTTAAAAAATTGACTGAATTTTTTTGAGCAGAAAAGGATACCATTATCAAAGATCACAAATTGCTAATGAAAACAGGGCATCTAATTCCTTGTGATGATAAGGTAGTGGGATGTGAGCTTTGGGATGTGAGCCAGAGCCTGCTGAAATCAAGAGACAAATCTTTTGCCTCTTTCTCAGCCATCAGATGAGCCTGAACTTGGCAATGCCCCTTCCAAGCAGTGTTGGGAAAAGTACACTGAGCTGAGTGTGCAAGAGCAGGGGACAGCACCAGCCCTGCTCTGCTCCCAGTTAAGGCACTGCTGTCACATATTTCTACTGGGGCTGAAGCCCAGGAGCCCTTCTGCAAACCCTGCGTCGTTGGATGTCCCTGCCCTGTCAGTGCTGTGTGTCCTCTCGTGTGGGATGTGTTGGCAAAGCAAGCCCTCTGAGGTGAAGCAATGCCTCCCCCACAATCATGGTGTGGCTCTGCTGAGGTCCCTCAGCTGAAGGGCTGGTGCTGGGCTGTTCCAGTTTCACTTCAGGTGTCCTTGGGAATCTCATGCTCACTGAGTTTCTTCCTTTCATGATCAGGCAGTTACCCACGTCTGATATTACAGTTTGAGCTAAGAAGAAATGTACTTTACTTCATTTTGGAGACCTATGTGCCCTCCACTCTGCTCGTCATGTTGTCCTGGGTTTCTTTTTGGATCACATTGGACTCAGTGCCTGCAAGAACCTGCATTGGTGAGTTATTGCTGAGGAATTGAGAAGACTTAAGCTGGCAGGGCAGCCTCTGAAGGTTGGGTAGATGGTCCTTTTCTTGAGCTCTCTGCTCCGAGATAGTCTATTGACCTGCTGTTGCTTGGGGCAGAGCTGGGTTAGCATGGAGGATGTGCTGTGGCAGGTACACGTGCCCACCTGCCAAGGCTCCCAGGAGATTCACAGCAGAGAGCAGAGGACAGAGCACACATTCTTTGTGGTGTGCTTTGGAGGGAGCAGGATGGGGGAATTTTTTACAGAAAGCCAGAAAAAGAAGAGAGCCAAGTGCTTATTGGAGCCAAGTTGTCAATAGTAGGGAGAGCCTGTGTGAAACTTGTAGCTAGTGCTGCAAAAGCATTTCAGTTGCTGTGATGGATGATTTGGATTTGGTAAGAAGTGATATGAGCAACAACATGTGCAGAAGGGTAGGCCAGGACTTTTCCGAAGAGTCCACAAGAGAAGGTATCTCTTTTTCTGCTTTCCAAGGAGTTACAACAGTGCTTTCCATGACAACTCTGATGATCGGCTCACGAAGTTCACTTTCAAAAACCAACTGTTTCATTAAGGCCATTGATGTTTATCTTGGCATCTGCTTCAGCTTCATCTTTGGTGCCCTTGTGGAATATGCAGTGGCTCACTACAGCTCATCACAAAAGTGTGCAGCTAAAGTACCTCAAGAGGTAAGGCCTGATAAGCCCAGAGATCTTGGATTGGCAGCAATTAGTTCTCCATTAACTGAATAAGACAAATGGTCTTCCTGTTACGGGTACATTAACACTGGCTTCTCCTAAATGGCACTAAATCTTTATTTTTGTGTGCAGCAAGCACATGAATAGCTCTAGAGCACTGTGTCTCTGACAGACGTCTGAGCAGCAGCCTCAGCTGACGGTCATATTGGGTTCATCAGACCACATTCAGGAAGGCACTTTGGCCTGCCACTGGAATTGGGTCTGTGGCCCTGAACTGAGCTCACGTGAGCATGAAGCACCTCTGCTCCTTTCAAAATGCAGCCAGAGAAGACCCAGTATAACACACCTCTTTGCTCTCCTATGGAATAACTCTGATTAGGAAGGTACTTTGCTCTTTTTTTACAAAGGAAATATGAACCCTTCTTCCTCCTTTCCCAGAAGACACTACCAAACATCAGTCCCACCATGTTCCATGGGGATTGCGAGAGTGCATTGTTCAAGTGCTCTGCTTTAGTGTGAGAAATTAAAAAGTCAGCTATGACCATAGTCCAGTAGTCATCAAGGGCCCAAATCCTGTTAGAGGGAAAAGAGGTTTCCCACTTCAATGCTGTGTTCCCCAGCCATTAAGTTACTGAGTAGACATGAAGAGATGGATGTCCAGGAGGAGATGCATGTTGGGTTGCACTGGGTTGCTCAGTGACAGAGTGAGATTTGCTCAAGGTCTAAAAATACCTCTAGAAATACAGTGGTGGAAACACAAGCATCTCTGGGACCTCAGGCCCTCCTAAAAATAGGGATGTTTGAGTGGATGACCACATACAACCACTCTTTTATCTATATCCTTATGGTTTCCTTCCTCTGCAGGAGAAGACGGATCCTAAAACTAGCTCTGCACTCTTGTTTCCTAGGGGCCGGCAAATAAGATCACTAAAGAAATGGAAGATGTCAACATCACTAATATCCTCAACAATTCCATCACCAGCTATAAACAGAAAATCAGCTTCACAAGCATTGAAATTTCCAGTGATAATGTTAACTGCAGTGATTTGACTATGAAAAGCCATGAGAAAATCAAATGTGTCTTGAGAAACAAAATGCACAGGATTATTGGTTATTTCACAATTCAGAACCCTGGCAATGTGGACCACTACTCCAAATTGCTTTTCCCTTTGTTTTTCATGCTGGTCAATGTGTTTTATTGGGCTTATTATCTATATTTTTAGTAGAAGTTAGTTGCTTCATCCTCCTACTTCAGCAGGAAAGGAATTGAGCCAATGGGTATCCAGGTATCTAACATCGATGAATTCAATGTGGACAAAATGCTTGTGTCCTCAGGTACCCAGCAGAAGAGTGTGTGAGGTGTTCAAGATGCAACACTGACTCTGGACAGCAGCCTGTTCAGCTGAGTGGCTGTGCTGGGCCCTGTCACTCGTACCTGTGTTTCCTTCCAGCATCTCACCTGCTGGAGATGGGTGTGCAGGACTGCACGAAGCAGAGCACTACAGGTGGCAAAATTGTTTTGGTAGCCTGGAGCAGGTTAGAACCTTCAAGTTTAGATCTCCAAGAGAGTGTATAGGATTATACAAACAAAAACAAAGCTGTTATTCTTTGTTTGCCAGAGATAACAGAGGGACTGTGATTGCTTCCTCAGTAGCTGCTCTGTTGCAGTGGGAGAAGCCGAGCACAGCAGCACTCTGTGCTCAGGAGCGTTCCTGTGCATGGTGCTTCCTGGGGGCACGCGGTGCCAGGCCGGGGATTTTGGTCCTGCTGGCTGTGGTGTGCCTCAGTGCTTTTAACGCCTGTCACTCATTGAGGTAATCCTCACTTGCTGAAGTTCTCCCTCCCTCAGACAGACAGAGGGCTTGCTGTTTGTAGTGAGCAAAATTTTTTCAGAGATTTGGGAACACAAAATAGAGGCAGCAAAATTGTTTGGTAACCCATCTCTTATACTCCTCCTGCTGTGCTGCTGTTGAACAGATTCTACCACCTTCCATGTCTTCCTCACACATTATTTTTCATCCTGGAGAATGCTTCCTTCAGCTCTCACTGTTATAAGCAGCTCTCATTTCTTGCCAGCCACAGGCTTGAGTGGTCCATTTGTCATCCCCTCTTTTATGTGGCTGTGCAGCTGTGGCAAGTCAATACTGCTGGGTGAAAAACACGTGTGGGCTGAGGGAGGGTAGTCTAAATCACCCTTTCACTCTCTATTTTAGCCTGGAAAAGTGCTACTTTTCTGCAGAAATTCAGATTCTAAGTGGGCTCTGGAAACTGCCCAAAGTCATCTTTGTTTATCCTGCAATCAGCAGGACCCAGAGCTTTCTTTTAAAGATAAATTCAATGTGGTGCACACACAGTTATGTGCCATTTGGTACTGTGCAGCTTAAGGCTACTGAAAGTCTTTATTTCCTGGTTATAAAATTGACATTTTATGGCAGGTTTCTCCCCGACCTTTTTTGGTCTATGCTACTTTTGTAACTGGGAGGGTGTAATCCTGCAGTTATGTGGGCAGGACTGGAATTGCCTGCAATGGCCGCCATTCAGCACAGTTCTGACTGAGGCCTCTCAGCAGGCAGCTTATATTACAGTGTTTGCTTAGTGTAAGAATCTCTTATTGGGGATTCCTCTACAAGGTGGGCAGAGCATGCAAAACTATAGATTTTTTACTTTAATAACTTTTTATTGAACCACTTCAGTGTGCTATATTGTGAGGGATCTAAACCTCATATTCATAAATCATAGCTTTTACAAAAAGCAGCACGAGAAAACAAAGGGGAACAGACTGACAATGGCAAGTGAATAAACACAAACTCCAATAATGAAATGTTGTCTTGTATATACCGGCATTTAAAGTCCATTCCATAAAATGTAATAAAGTGAACGTTTGTGATATGAACACAACCCCCCAGAGAGATACTCTATTAAAAAAATCATTACCTTCTTTCTGTATCAGTTTCTTTCTGTCAAACCCAACTAAAATGCCCTAATGTGCTCCAGCCACCAAATATTAATGTTAACAAAAGGAATTTCTTTGTACAAAGCTCTCTAAGATCAAGTCCAACTGTTCCGCAAACACTGCCAAGGCCACCACTAACCCATGTCCCCAAGTGCCACATCCACACAGCTTTTAAATCCCTGAAGGGATGGGGACTCCACCCTCTGCCCTGGGCAGTCTGTTCCAATGCCACCACCCTTCCAGTGAAGAAAGTTTCCCCGATATCCACTCCAAACTTCCCCTGGCACAGCTTGAGGCCATTTCCTCTCCTGTCCCTTGTTCCCTGGGAGCACAGCCCGACACCCCCCCCAGCTCCCCCCTCCTGTCAGGGAGTTGCAGAGCCAGAAGGTCCCCCCTGAGCCTCCTTTTCTCCAGGCTGAGCCCCCCCAGCTCTCTCAGCTGCTCCTCATCAGACTTGTGCTCCAGACTCTTCCCCAGAAAGGCCTCTTCCAGCCTGACCAATTCCATGATTACAGCAGACAGCCACCCTCAAGACTTGCTTTCATTACCTGCAGCTTTTGTTACAACTTTGATGTTTTGACATTGTTCAGGACTTGTTCTAAGTTACACCTCTGTGCACTTTTTGGTGACCCAGCCTAGCCAACCACATGTTGTCTTGAAAAGTGTCAGCTCTGTCTATTCCAATTTATTGCTGATTTTGGCAACTTCAAGAAGGAAAGGAAGGACAGAAGGTAGTAGGGGAAGGAGGTTTTTTTCCAAATATTCAGACACATTCATATGAGAATCAGCCTTTTCCACAAAGGACTGGTATGTAACACATAATCTGCAGTGAGGACAAAGCCACAGGTTAAGCACTGCACACAGCTCTGTTTTGCTTAAGGGTTCAGCCTTGCACAGCTCTACAGGGAACAGGAACCAGTTTGAGTGGCAGCTTCCAACCTGATGGTTTCTGTGCTCGGAGCTGTTCCATCTCCCACTGACCACATCTGCCCTATAGCTCTGAGGGAGCTTGGTAGAGGACAGAGTTATCCCTAAGGTCTACTATTTCACTGTAAATTCCACTATTTACAGGGTGCCAGTTTGTTTGTGCTCTTGGCAGAATGTGAATGTACAGAGGAAAAGACTGACTGGCTTTTTGAGATAATTCTGCATTGCAGTGATAGTTCTGGTCTGCAGAACGTTGCCCTAAGCTGCAGCTTTTGCAATCTGTCTCTTTTTAAGAACATTTGCTCTCTAAGGCTTTGAGGACAGATCCTTGCGAATGTTGACATGGGGAAGCAAGATGGATAGTGAACAGCATCAGGCAACTCACGAGAGATGCAAATGCTTGTAACCCAGAGGAATGTAAAGCCTCAGAATATGCTCTGAGGAGTCACTCTAGCTGGCGACCAAAAACAGTCTAGGAACAGCAGCATAAAGCACTTTGGGGATTAATTTATCCAGTAAAATATGAAGGAGCTGCAATGTAGAGGAGAGCTCAAACAGGTTAACAGTGGCTATTTGCATCCCTCCTCTAGAGCTAATACAGGTGTTTAGGGGAGAGAAGCACCACAGCCCCACATTCTTTCTATGCCCTCCACCTGTTTTTCCCCTCACTGTTCTTGTGCCCAGTTCAGCCAGCATAAGCAATAAGCAGGCACTGGTCTTGCTGCAGCAGCCACCAGTCTGAGCTCACAGAGTGTTATTTTTCATTTTCAGGAGGATAAAGGGCTCAGTGCAGGAATCCTGTCATTTCAGAGCATGTGGTTTACATTAACATTTCCAAGAGGTATTTGTATACACAAACAGTACCATCTGCTGAAAGGAATAGTCCACATTTTCACAAGGTTAATTTCATTTAAAACCAAGTGATTGAATTGGTAGCATAAACCAATAGTTAGTATCCCAACACACAATCAGGTAGCAAGCCACATCTTTACAAGGAAAGACTGTTTAGTGCTGGTACTTGGCACAGGTTTTATCAAAGTTCTCACTGATATAACTTTTCTATTCATTAATGAATAAAAGCTGGTTTAAATTACAGCCTGTTGTTACACTTGGGATCAGCCAATGGGCTTCTTGTTAATCTGAGGAGAGTGTTAAGACTATAATGAATAATTTGATACATTTTCTTTCTTTCTTCTTACCTTTTTCAGATCTTTGTCTCAAATCCTGCAGTTTTTCACGAAGTTCCTGTAGTTTCAAACCCTTTTAAATTGTTTTTTACTCTCTTGGCAGTTCACCAGGAGAATTCAATATTGAACTGCAGTCTGCTTTGGTTGGGCCCAAAAATCTGTTATGTCTTACTTTCTTCATCAGGTTAGATCAGAGGATTGCAAACAAGAAATCCGTATTTTAGAGCTGACATTTGGGTGCTCATCCCTGCTAGTAAGCTAAATTAACAGAAGAGTTATGAATTGTGAACAGGGAAGAGGAAGCAAATTTAGTTCTTGATATGAAGTTGCTTTTTTGTCCTCCAAAAAGAAAAGCTTTCGTATAACGTCAATGTATTCCCTGGGGAGACTGCAGATCCTACACCAAGATAAGTATAGTGTATACTGGCACAGTTTTGAAACAGAAGAAATTTTCAGATCCAGGGTGTACCAGCACGATGAGGTTCTGATTCCTGTCTTTTAGGACAGGGCTTCAGCAGGGCCTGCCGGGCAGCTGCATCTGCTTAGCACTGAACTGCCTGGAGGCATGGCCTGAGAACGTGGCACTCTGGAAGCCTGTCAATCCAGAAGCCATCTGGTTTTGGTCTTTCTAGTATGTCATAGGGGTTTTATTTTCAGTCACACTGGAGAGTCCCTCCTTTTACCCAAGCCTCTAGCAGAAGAGGGATTTGAATGGAAATGGCCTGTGTCTGTTTCAACGTGGATTTTTTAGTTCCACTAAATTATAGAACATGTACAGCTTTATTAATTTGGGACTCTATTATGTTTTTATTGTATTGAGACCTTTGGAAAACAAATCCTCAGACTTCAGAGAACATGGAATTAAAGCTCTGCAGGTAGAGTCAGACCATGTGGATGCCTCTCAACACTAAGACCAAGTCTTCCCATCAGTCCAGAACTTTAAATTTATCCAGTTTGAGATATATGCCCACCTGCAATGCCTTGTTTTAAATATAGAGATTATTTCCCTCCCCCTTTCCCAAGGAGACAGTAAGTTTTGGCTTTATACTATTGGTTCAGATCTTCCCAGAGATGTCCTGCCTTCCTCTTTTGCTGCAGCCCACAAACATGACTGGGTCTACCTTTGCCATGTGCTGTGGCACAGGAGAGCAGCCAGGCAGTGTCCTTTCCCCTCTACTGCTATAATAAGAGCAATGCCCTCCTCCAGCATCACTGCACACCTTTTAACTGGTGTTTGTCATAAGCAGAGAAAGCCTCTTTAGTGCAGACGTAGATTCATGTCAGTTGTCATGAAATGTAATGACAAATACAAGATCAGACCAGGCCTTCAAGACTGCTTGTGCTTTCAGACATTTACTTTAGAACAGTATTTAACACAAAACCATTCTGACTTGCAGTGCACACACAATGTTTGTGTTTGGTGTGTCCAGCCATGCTGCAGCTGGAATAGACTGAGACTTCTAAGAGTGCTCCATCAGCTTGGGAGAAAAACAATTCCAAGTATGCCCTGTTGGACAGGGACAAAGGTATCTGCCCTGCCAACTCAAACAGGAAGCCAGCTTAGCTGAAAGAAAGGACAGGGTGAAATCCTGAGCACATTTAAGCTAAAGGGAGTCTGGCTACCAATTTAAATGGACACAGACCTTTATTTCTTAACTCATGCTCACACCAAGTCTTTATTCATATTCCCTCGCTTAATGCCATTTCCAGCTTCCATGACTTTTATTAGGAATAAATGTGCAAAGCTAAGAGCTATCCCAGATGAGGTACCCTTGGTACTGTGACCCTTAGAAACATCAGGATAGTGAAGGGGACAGGACTAGCACTGGGCTTCTAGAGATTGGCAAAGCCCCCCCAGTGCTCTGCCCTATCTTGACCCCAAGAGCACAAGCATTAGTGAAAGCAAATATCCCTAGACAAGCTTCGTCTTCCCAGCGGCACAACATGGTTGCCAGCATTTGTGCCAGAGATCTGCCATGGATTGTTTGTTTGTTTGTTTGTTTTAACCTCCAAGTATTCAAAGAATCACAGACTATTCTGAGTTGGAAGGGACCCATCAGGATCATCCAGTCCAACTCCTGGCCCTGCACAGGACACCCAAACAATCCCACTCCATCCCTGAGAGTGTTGTCCAAACACTGAGCTCCCTCAGCCTTGGGGCTGTGCCCACTGCCCTGGGGAGCCTGTTCAGCGCCCAATCACCCTCTGGGGGAAGAACCTTTTCCTGATATCTAGCCTAACCCTGCCCTGACACAGCTTCAGGCCATTCCCTCAAGTAATTGAGATGAATGATGTTGTCTGGAGATTACTCCTTCATGACTCCTTCTGGAGGTATGAACACAAAAAGCCCAGGGTGCTGATCTGCAGGATTCTTTGATGCAGTCCTGTCTCTCTGTAGACAACACACAAAGTCCTGAGAAGAGCAGGAAATTAAACAGCAAGAGGCAATACCTGTGCTCTCAGCCCTTCTTTCGGGGCTAAATGTTGCTCCTCCAAGCTTGTCTCAAGTGTTGCCTTCTGTCCTTATTCACTCTTAAGATTTCTCCTGTCCCTTCTCACAACTTCCACCTCCTCCTGATGCATGTCATGGGTGCCCAAACCATCTAAATCCAGCAAAGCCTCCCATCCCCACACACAGCCTGCATGTCCCCTCCTCTGGACAGCACAGGACATCTCTTTGAAGCTCTCTGATCACAAGTGAACATAAATGTTTGTCAGAAGTGTTAAATTTTGGAACAATTCCAAACAAACTGAAGCGCAGTGGTGGGAGGCAGATTCCTGCTCTCCAGCTTCATTGCTGGATCATTTTGACCTGAGCACCACTGCCCAGACACA